GCTTGCCTAAAACACCTTTCCAGGCTTTGGAGTTCTTTCCTACTCTGGTATTGAAGTCAATATAGACAACACTATACTACTAGCAGAAAACATCACAGACCTAGAGGCACTACTAAGGAAAGTCAAGGAAGAAAATGAAATGGTAGGCTTACTACTGAATATGAAGAAAATAAAAAAAAAATGATCACAGAGGGTCTACATAAATTCAGTCTAGACAATAAGGAAATAGAAATAGTAAGAGTTCCCATACCTTGATCAGAAGACTAGGAATGGAGAGGGCAGCTATGAAAGAACTTGAATAGATCCTAAAGAACAAAGATGTACAACTAAGCACAAAAGTTAGAATCATACAAGCCATTGTATTACCTATTACCCTATATGGATATGAGAACTGGATAATTAAGAGAGCAGGTAAGAAAAAAAAAATCAATTCATTTACGATGTGGTGCTGAAGAAGAGAACTGGCTGTGGTCAGCCCAAAAGACAAATAAGTGGATCCTAGAACAGATCAAACCTGAATTCTCCTTGGAAGCCAAGATGATTAAATTGAGGTGGCCATACTTTGGCCACGTCATGAGAATGCATGATTCATTAGAAAAGATAATAATGCTGGGAAAGGTGAAGGGAAGAAGAAAGAGAGGAAGACTTCATGCTAGATGGATGGATTCTATTAAGAAAGTCATGAGTAAGAATTTACAGGAATTAAGCAGAATAGTGGAGGACAGGGAGTCTTGGAAATGTCTCATCCACAGGGTTTTCATGGGTAGAGTTTGACTTGAAGGACATTAACAACAACAAAATATGGTACCATCTGCTCATCTTACATTGTTGATATTCCTTCCTTGAATTTTCAGGCTCGCTTCTCCTCAGTCTAATCCTGCCTCCAGTATCATGTACTTTGCATATAAATTAAACAGATATGTTGATAAAATGTAGCCTACTCTGCCACCCACCCACCCTGCCAACTGGAAACCACTTTGTTACTCCATTATTTTGTGTCCTGATAGAGGCTTCTTGCATTACCCTTTCTTTTAGAGTAAACCAGTAGTTTTTCACTACTTCAGCAATATCCGAGTAAGTAACTGAGAAACTTTACAAACCCAACTATACTGGAGCTGACAGTTACACACTTCTAACTCTGCCTGCTGTTAAAACATCATATATATAGTATGAAGTCTTGTATTTAGTGGCATACTGAAAAAGGTTCTTTTTTTTTTTTAATAAACAGGGAATAGACTTTTTTTTGGGGGGGGGGACCCTGCTATTCATATTGACCTCTCTCTCCTCCCTCACCCTCTTAAACTGCAAATCAATGAAGAGGTGGATGGAAATGTGAAGGCTTTCTAAAATATTGTACAAGGATTGTTCTGTGCATTATATACATGTTATCAAAATGTTCTCAGATAAAGCTGAAATTAATGAGAAAGTGACATTTAGAAGGTGAATGTCCTCTACATAAATCCTACATTTATTTTCCATGTTAAGACAAGATTAACATTATAGCTGCCTTTCTCAGGCAAAAATCTATTCTATGCTTGGGACTCTTTAGATGCACCTTTTAATGTGCTTTTAATTATTAAACTAATATTTTAAAGTGGTTTATGATGATTTCTTTTTCAATTTCTGTATTTCAGAATGTTTTTAGCTGTATTCTTTTAATGTAGGCTGTGAGCTGCTTTGGGTCCCTTATGGGAGAAAAGGGAATATTTAATTAATTAAACAGAGAAGAGAAGGAAAAGGAAAGAAAGGAGACTGGTATTTTTTAGAATTGCAAATTATTTTTTACAAGCAGCAAGAATGCCAAGACAAGCTCAGCATATTAGAATCTCACTAATGCCTTATAACAAACTTCCAGAAGTTGGTGACCCCTTGATATTTTTGATTGTAGCTCAGATACAGTTCTCACCTGGAGGGAATCAAGTTGAAGAAAACTCCACCTTAATATCCACTAGATTGAATAATGACAAAGAGATTATAATTATTATTAGTTTAAAATCACAATACACCCATATTACAACAATGAACAAATGTGCAATGAAGTCTGTAGGTTAAAACAAAACATATTTAATGCTTTGGGCTTTGTGTGCCAGCTTCAGCCAACACATCCTATGGTGTTTTTAAATTAACTTTCCTGTTACATTTATTGGTAACTAGTATGGTGGTTATCATACTGAGTGGTTATTTAAAAGAATTGAGAGATATACAGTTTTCAACCAACACTGTTAATCTACAGTGTGATGTAGTGGCATAGTCTGAGCATTGGACTATGACTCTGGAGTTCAGGGTTCAAATCCCTGCTCAGCCATGGAAACCCACTGAGTGAACTAGGGCAAGTCACACTCTCTCCCTCTCAGAGGAAGGCAAAGGCAAACCCCCTTCTGGACCAATCTTGTCAAGTAAACCCCATGGTAAGTTTGCCTAAAGGTTGCCATATGTTAGAAATGAGTTGAAAACATACAACAAGGCTAAACCAGAGAGCTTATGCTGTCATGGTTGCTGTCTGTGCAATCTGTAATCCTGAAAAAAACAAACCAATTTTTAAAATTGTGTGCTGTCCTCATGAGGCTGTCATTTTTCATGCAAAGAGAGTGACAGCAGAGGGTGTGTGCCTAGCTTGCTCGCTCTCAATGCATGTTCAGATTAAACATACTTTCATAACTCAATAGGGTTTTTAAGGCCTTGTTTTGGCTTTGATCACCCTAACATAGCTACCTGTGCTCCATGTCTCATGTTTCCTCAGGGAGGCTAGCTGAGAGATAGCATAGTGTGCTTTCCTGCTTCACACAAACAAGTGTTTAGAATGAGGCATTTCACCAAAATTGATGGTGCATTTTATGGTTCTGATTACAAAAGCTTGAAGCATTTTCCACATACAGAACTCATTTGATATTGATGTAATTTGCCACATCAAGGCTCAATCCCTCGACAGGGCTGACCTTACAAATATCTGTATTTTGCTGAACATTAAATTTTAATAAAATGATTTGATCCATACAGATTACATACATCATTACATGTATGTACACTATCTTAATTACAAGAAAACAACCTGATTATGTTTTCACTGTGGAGGTGGTAGGATATATAAACAGTGTTGAAAAAAAAAATCTGGTATTTGAGGCTAACAGACTTTCAAAGCAATTGGAAAGCAATTAAGCATCATATGTTTTTTTTTTAAGAAAGTAAGGTGGCAAGCTGTTTTGTATCCCACTTTAATTAGTTGTTTACCAGTTCCCTGATACATTACCATCCTCACATACACAGATGACTTAGGCCTGTCTGCAACTCAGTCCATTCTCTGTGGTCTGGAATGTGCTGCCAAAAAAGAGTGAGTATCTAATATGAAAAATGGATGCCTTCCACAAATTTTACCAGACGTGTCATGTTGCGTTAGACAGTGTGATAGAACATTAACCATCTAATGAGACATGACTTCTAGAATGTAAAGGAGGACACATTTTCAGATTATATACAAGTTATCAATTTACAAATGGGAGGAGGGTCTTGCTTTTTTGAGATGCCAGCAGATTCTGCACAAAGCAGCTGTGTGTGAAAAATATGGAGAGAGGAAGGGCATGCTTGACTGACTCTTTTCATTAGGTCTAAGAAAAAGAAAAGATATACTTTCTAAGCATGTATATTTGATCACAGAGTTACATAAGTATCTGATCAACAACAACAAAAGAAGTTTATGTAATTAGAATCACTAAAAGACCAGCTCAGTCATCATATTTGCTCCTGCCTAGTTGTCTGCAGCACCACTAATTTCTCAGGAACTAGATTTTTGGGTTTCTACTGAAAGACAAGAATTGCCAATTATTTAGTTTATTAAGGCCATAAAAACCCTGTGGCAGGCTGTGGGACTGAACAGACCATCCCTTTGGAGAGGCATCCCACCACCCCTTTCATCGCTGGATCGGGGCTGTGGCAACTACACACTGCAGCCCAATCTGGTGCTTTGCCAGCCCAAACAGGGCCAGCAAAATGCCACTTCTTTTTTAAGTAGCAAAAAACCAACATAGCTACTGCAGCAGCAGCTTTTCTGGGTTTCTTTGGTGCAGTACATCTAAACGCAGTGCCAAAGAAAGGGTGTGACACTGCCCACATTGCAGTAGGTTGGACGGCATGATGCCAGCATCAGGATGGCATTGGGGCATGCAGTACGTGGTCACTGCACTTAACACCGGTTTGTTTAGGATCTGTATCTCCCTGTATTAGCCAGTCTGGAGTCTGAGATTCTTAAGAGAGGCCCTTCTCTCAGTTCCACCACTATCACAAGCATGGTTGGTTGGGATGGGGGAGAGGACCTTCTCAGTGATTGCCCCTAGACTCTGGAATGGCCCCCTCCTTGTTGGCCTTCCCTTGGCAGGCTAAGACATTTTTCTTCAGACAGGCTTTTAAAACAGAAAGTCTTTAAAGAAAGGGCTAGGGGTGCTGTATGATTTTAACTGGACTGTTTTTAAGAGTTATCAATTAATGTTTAGTCTTATTTAAAGTGGCTTCTCTTCAATGGGAAGGTTAACTTTTTATATATGTTTGTACATACCCAATCAGGATTATAGCCTGAAGGCCTTGCTTTATGTTGCCATTTTCATCTCATCCATACTATCTTTTATTTCCACTATCTAGAATTGCATCCAGCCTCTTTCTACAAGGATTTGATCTTCTAAGTTGTTGAAATTGTTTCATTAATATAGCTGAATATATCATTGATTCCTAATTCCTAATTCCAAGGAAACTGTTTCTGTCCTAAACTGTTGTCTGGCCACTGTAATGGGCTGGTTGAGGTCAAACAAATTGAAGCTTAACCCAGATAAGACAGAAGTGCTCCTGGTCAGTCAAAAGACTGATACAGGAATAGGGATTCAGCCTGAAAACTCCCCCTGAAAACTCAGGTTCATAGTTTGGGGGTACTTCTGGATTCAGTGCTGATCCTGGAAGCCCATATATCAGCAGTGACCAGGAGTGCTTTTGCACAGCTAAAACTCATGCTCCAACTGTGCCCATTCCTTGAGAAATCAGATCTGGCCACTGTGGTACATACCTTGGTTACATCCCATCTGAATTACTGTAACACACTCTTTGAAAAGTGCTCAGAAACTTCAGCTAACCCAAAGAGCTGCAGCCAGGCTGTTACCTGAAGCTGGCTACAGGGAACATACAACTCCCTTGTCACAACAGCTCCATTGGCTGCCAGTCTGTTTCTAGGCACAATTCAAAGTGCTGGTTTTGACCTAAAAAGCCCTATACAGCATGGGTCCAAGCTATTTGAAGGACTGTGTTACTCTGTATGAGCCCCCCAGAATATTGGGTTCATCTGAAGAGGACTTTCTCTCTGTCCCACCATCCTTTCAGGTGCGTTTGGTGGGAACAAGAGAGAGGACCTTCTCAGTGGTTGCTCCCAAGCTTTGGAACTCCCTCCCTAAGGAGACTAGAATGGCTCCATTCCTGCTATCCTTCCAGCAGCTTGTAAAGACATTCTTCTATGGGCAGGCCTTTGCAAATCAATAAGGTCTGGCAATGTTGTGCTATTTAAATTTTAAGGTCTGTCTTTTAGCATTCAGTTTTAACTCAGAACTGTTTTAACTTTTAAATAGTTTAATTTTTTTTAAAATTTAAATTTATACATTTTAATGTTGTACTGTTTTAAATTGTATTGTTTTAAAATAGCCGTTCACTGCCTTGAGTCTCTATATGGGGAGAAAGGCGGGATATAAGAAAATAATAATAATAACAATAATAATAATTTGACATGATTAGAGAATAGAACATACAACCCAGTATGTTTTGAGATCAGAGGAAGCTCTTTTTAAATACTGTGGCTGCCATCTTGTTGGTTAGTCCCTAATAGAGTAGACTTTGATCAAATGTTGAAAGTAAAATCATCACATAGGTAGACTGAATGTGTCTACTTTAGTCAGGACTAGCACCAAGATTTATGTCTGTTTTCACACTAAGAATATATTCCAGGAGATCCTTTTTGTTGCTACACTACAACTCTACACCACTTATATAAGGGGTAGGCATGTACAAGAGATTACAGAACCATTTTCAGTTTCTCTGGATCCTTGGCAGGCTATATCAGCATGATCAGAAGTGATCAGAAGAGATATTTTGGGTGACAAGATGCCACTTCTGGTCACTTTTTAGTGGGTTTTCTTGCTATTTTACAGTAGGGGCAATAATAGCATTTACCAGCCATAACTGAACTGGAATCTTTTCCTTCAACATTTTGTAACACTGTGGGATTGGAGCAATACCCCCCAGGGCTACATACAGGCCATATGCCACGTGATGCCCACTTTAGCATATGGATTTTAAAATGGCTAATATTGTGCAGATCAGCTTGGTGAGGAAGGGAGAATGAGAAAGAGACTGCCTCTCCCCAAAGCAGATGTCCTCCCAAACAGAACTCCCCAACAACATTTACTTGTTCAGCAGTATTTAAACCATTTTTATGCACAACCAACATTCAGAGAGGTAAAGGGAACTGCAGAGAAAGAATTCAGCTGGAGATAGACACATGGAAACTAGCCTTCTTGGTGCATAGTGCCTGTATGGACTATGACATTCATGTTTATTTTCTAATAATGCAGAGTTTGTTTGTTTTTTTAAAAAAAGAAGCATAGGTTTTCAAAGATTCAATTGAAGTTCTGCTTTATTATCGATTCTGGTAGCCTCGGGCTTTAGAATCTATTCAACTGCAATGAATCATTAAGATTTCACTGAGAGTAGGGTGTGGGGGAAGAGAGTAGACACCTCTTCATACTTTGTTGTTTGGGAGATTTTAACTAAATAACATCTGTTAGCTTAGATTGCAGATGATTTAATTTTTAAACACGTGCTCCCAACCTTTAATTTTCTGCAAAGCAATGGCATACATTATTAATTCATCTATTTTTCCTCAAGGCGAGTTAGACTTAAGGTCCTTCATAAATATTTAACAATGCTGCTGCAAAATAAACAACAAAAAACTTCCATATAACTTTTAATTGCAAATCCTAGCATCCAACAATGCCAAGAAAGACCCGAAGAGCGAAAAGAGTTAAGTGTTTTTGCTGCAAAATTGAAATGATATGTAAGAGGTCTTCATTTAATTGAACTATTTGCACTATCAAGAAAATGTTGCTGCAGTGATCTCTATCTTTAAGAGGACTGCTGTGTTCAGGAGTAGCTAATGTCTAAACCTCTAGGGTACCATGTGATGTAATATGCTGAAGCAGGAGCAGTGGGGACCTTGGGGAGGTAGGCAATAGAGTTTCCCTGACTGACAGCCAGATCCAGTCTTCAGACAAACTGTACATG